GGCTGTGGCCGCGGGCAGCAACTCCAGAAGGCAACACAGCCCCGCCCCCCCCTGCGGGGGGCCCCCGCCCCATTGGAGCAGCCTCGGGCTGTCCAGGAACCTTACCCAGACCCCTCCAACCCACACCTTGGGAGAATCCTTCCAGGGCATTTTTCTGGGGCAAATCCCATGCCTCCTGAAGCTATCCACACCTGCCTCCAGCACTGTGCCCTCTCCCGCCGCTCACGCCTGGACTGTGGCCGCGGGCAGCAACTCCAGAAGGCAACACAGCCCCGCCCAGCCCTGCGGGGGGCCCCCGCCCCATTGGAGCAGCCTCGGGCTGTCCAGGAACCTTACCCAGACCCCTCCAACCCACACCTTGGGAGAATCCTTCCAGGGCATTTTTCTGGGGCAAATCCCATGCCTCCTGAAGAGCTATCCACAGCGCTGAAGGGTTTGGGGCGTCTGATGGGCTATTGGGACCTTTCCTCTACCTAAGCCCTCCCTCAACAATCTGCTTCTCCCCCTCCCACTGCCGCCCTCCTAGGTCTCTGAACAGAAAGTCACACATCTGTTCACATTAGCTGTGCGACCTTGGGCAAGTTACTCAACATCTCTGTGGCTCAGTTTCATTAGTAGAAAGGCCATTATAGCACCTACTTGGGGCTGTTGTAAAATTTTATTGAGATAATCCATGAAAAGGACTTGGCACAAGGTGTTATCTGCGCACTCATACCAATGACCTCTCTTGTATTAAGAGTCAAGAGCTCATCCTAGCTGGTTTGGCTCAGTGCATAGAGTGTCAGCCTATGGACCAAGTGGTCCCGGGTTCGATTCCAGTCAAGGGCACATCCCTTGGTTGCAGGCTCCTTCCCTGGCCCGGGTCCTGGTCGGGGCAGGAGGTAACCAATCGATGTGAGCACATTGATGTTTCTATCTTTCCCTCTCTCTTCCACTCTCTCCCAAAAGATCAATGGAGCCCTGACTGGTTTGGCTCAGTGGATAGAGCGTCGGCCTGCGGACTCAAGGGTCCCATGTTCGATTCCGGTCAAGGGCATGTACCTTGGTTGCGGGCACATACCCAGCAGGGGGTGTGCAGGAGGCAGCTCATCGATCTCTCTCTCTCTCATTGATGTTTCTAACTCTCTATCCCTCTCCCTTCCTCTCTGTAAAAAAATCAATAAAAATCTATCTTAAAAAAAAGATCAATGGAAAAATATCCTCGGGTGAGGAATAATAATAATAATAAAAAATAACCCATTAAAAAAAAACAGCAGCCAGAGCTCAGTAAAACAGTGGCTATTAACAGCACTGTGCAAAGCCCTACCCAGGTCTTTGAACTCTCATGAATTCATGGTGTTAGAGATGCAGACAATCTGTGAGGATGCAGCCCTCTTGGTCTTGCTGTAGATGACAGTGGTGGTCACACGGATCCATCCTCTCCACACCAACTACTGCCTCCAAAGTCCTAGAAGCCAGTCCTTCCACTATAGGCAGAGGCTGCAGGTCACTGGTGCTAGGACTGTGTTGCCTGCAGAATTTAAAATGAACATACACACCCCGACCCTGTTCCCACCTAAATGAAAATGTCAGCAACCGCAGGTCTAAATTTCAGGCAGCCCTAAGAATCTGCACAGATAAACAGATTCCCTAGGTGACTAGAGCCTCATCAGCCCTGAGGACAACTGCTTCAACCCCTTAACAGTCTGTGACTACATGTCCCCATCTCACTGAGGAGACTATCATGGCTCAAGAGTTGAGGTATAGCCCCCAAACCCCTTTTTCCAGCACAAGGAAGGACAGTGAGACCTTCCAAATAACTTCACAAAGATAGCAACCAAATGAGAATGCCCAAAAGAGCCGCTGTTCAAAAAGACTTTGATTTTATTTTGTGTCAAATTACCTATTCTCAGTGCAGGTGAGCCCCTCCTCCCCAGGAAACACATGGAAGGGGGGGTGGAGGGGGATGCCATCTGTGAAGTCTTGGCCTCCATGAGGCCCCAGGGAACCCCATACAGTTCTGAGTTGGTGGGAATCCCGGCAATGATTAGAGTGGGTGGGAGGCAGTGACAAGAGGAGGGGTGGTGGTCACCAGTTAGGAAGCTGAGGTTTGGAGAACCCTGTCCTTGGCCCTGCTCGGCTTTGGGGCTGCCATGTGCATGATGCAGATGGGGGAGTGAGGACATTTCCCCCGACTTTTAAAAAAAAGCACCCTTTGGCCAGGCATGGCTTTGATTCCACTCAGGGCTCAGGTGAGAGAGAAGCAGGAAACGGTTGTGGGCTGGCTGCTTCATAAGGTGCTGCTGCTGGTGCCCCGGAGTCCGACGCCACGCACAAACTGCTCCAGCAGGCCCCCAATGGCACCAGAAGGACTTGGGGCTACTGCCCGAAGCCCCACTGTGCTGCTGTATGCAGCCAAGAAGGCTGAGCGCACCTCCTGCAGGCGAGTCTCCCGTTCGCTCAGGGCTGCGAGCCTATGGAGAGGGGAAAAGAATAAATGCATCACCATGGGGCAGGAGCCAACATCCTCATCCTCATGTCACAATGCTTATCCTTCTGTCTTCATTAGCACAAGAGACGAACGTCTGTCCTGTGGTCACACTACCCTATGGTTCAGGCCCCAAACATTTGATCCTGTTCCCCTCTTAAACCATTCCTCTCCGTTTTCAGGTTACTGTTCCTACCTAGCAGCAGCACCTTTTATTGGGGCACTGGCCTGACTTCCTATGGGGAACAACCATCTCTGTGATAATGAGGGAGGGTAGAAGCCAAGCAGGAGGGAGTTTGCTCCAACAGCTGTTGGCTTCCATTCCTTAGTAGGAACAAGCTGAGTTACAAGCCTTACCTCTCATTGTAGGGAGAGACCCTAGTATCAGGCACCAGGCCTTGGTTAACCAAAGGCCTCAGCTTTCTTGAGGCCAGGACACGACGTAGAGCATCCTGGGAGAAAATTCTTGGCAGTGCCCTGGCGAGGCCAGGGTCCTCACTGGAAACCCCCAATGTTCTAGCTACACCTTTTTTTAGTCACTGTGACCCCAGGTAAACAGCTAGGAGAGTGCTGGCTTTTCCAGCAAAATTCCTGTTCTGATTCCATGTATTTTTCTTTCTCTGGCCTCTACAGGCACTGATCAGAAGATAGGAAACCCCTCCTCTCTCACTGGCCTGGAATTACAAGTCAAGAAGGAGGTAAGTGCATGAAAACTTAGACTTATCAATATGTAGCTCCATATGAGACTGTCTGACACCTTGAAGCAGCGGCCGCCAACCAGTGGTCCATGGACCACTGGTGGTCCGTGTGGTCCAAAAGGTTGGTGACCACTGCCTTGAAGGATTCTTTAATAGAAGAGGCCTGAGGTACCAGTCACATCCAATACCTGGACTAAAAGGCATGCAGTCTAGAGGTGGGAGGGACATGGAATCAGAGAAAAGGTCAGGAACTCAAAGCGAGGGAGACAGGTGACACACCTACATACAATGAACTCTCATGTTCCCATCCATCTAAGCACAAAGACTAGCCCTAACTTACCCCAAAATTTCCTGAAAGAGACCAATCTCTGGATAATCCCTCCTGGGAATTTGTCAGAAGCAGCATAAATGTCCACAATTCCCAAGCCCAAATGATTTGCACCCGAGGGCCTGGGGAACAGATGGAGTTGTGAGAATAAATGACAGTCCTGGGTAAGTATGGGGAGAGCAGATCTAGGGAAGTAGATTGGTGGCAGTGAAGAGTGTGTGTGTGTGTGTGTGTGTGTGTGTGTGAGAGAGAGAGAGAGAGAGAGAGAGAGAGAGAGAGAGAGAGAGAGAGAGAGAGAAATAAGGAGGTGGAGGAGGGAGGGAAGGAAGAAAGGAAAGGAGGGAGGAAGGAGAAGGGGGGGAGGAGGAGGAGGGGGAGGAGGAGGAGGAGGGGGAGGTTGTTTTAGGGAGAAACAAAGTCAAGTAGCTCTTACAGCAGCACTAAGAAATCGGAGCTGATACTGGATTCCTGCAATACCATGAACAACTCCCAAGTATTTCTTGACATTTGGGGCAAATGCATGGCCCTAGATCTTTTTTACTTTCTCAGGTTTCATACAGGCTAGAGGCTTATGTGTGCATCTTCAGCTTTTTCTTAGAGAAAGTTCAATTAGTGGTTTGTATTCACAGGGAACATCCAAAGGTCCATATGAGAGCACTTCTGGGAGACACAGGGGGAGAGATCACAATCTATTTAGAGACAACAAAACTGGAGTCCAGACAGGATATATGATTCACTTGTGGACACATGGTAGGCAATGGACAGGCAGGGACTGGAGCTACCATAGTGTCATTAGTTTTTCTCAAGAGATGAGCTAACAGGCTCAGAGAAGTCAAGGCTTATACCCCAAGACATAGCTGGTGAGCAGAGCAGTTAAGATTTCCCTGATAATAAAGCCCAAGCACATACTGAGTGACTTCACCCCTGGAGGCCATGAGATCATGTAGAACCTAGCCCTCCTCTGGGAACCACCAGAACCAACCAGAATTCTGAACTATGAGCTCAGAGAGCTGCCTAAGGTATAAACTGTAGGATGTGGGACCAGAGTTGCCTATTTCAGTGGCTAATGCCAGGTAAGTGAGGGATGCTATTAAGCAGGGGCAGAGATGCCTGTTTACTCCAGAGATAACTCTTAGGCCAGTGTGACAAATAGAAAGTCCCTACAGAAAGGTGCAACTATCTTTTTTGATCTCAAAAATCAAAGATAGGGACTTTGTTTCTGGCTTAAGGGCATGGCTAGAGGCTATACCAGGCACTAGTGGCCTCTTACTCCCCAGCTGCAAGGCTAGGGCCTGTGAGTGCCATCCTGGAATACCAAGGTCCAGCCCTTGCCTGCCCTCAGCCGGGATCTTCTCAACTCCCAGGGCAGCTTGTCTCCAACCAGTGAGCACTAGTGGGAATGAGCTGGATTTCTGGTGGGGGGATGAATCCCTAACCCGAGTTCATTCACCTGTGGTAGGGAGGTGAGGTCCCTCAGGCAGCCACAGCTGAGGTACAGGCCAACAAGCTCATCAGAGGCCCTCCCCACTCCTGACATCTATACAGCAGCAGAGCAGGCAGGGGGCAGGTGACTGCCACAAGGGCAGCTGCTCAAGTGGATACTTTATAGGAGTTGGAAGTCCAATATTTTGTATGCTTTTATAGGCTTGCAAGAGGATTTTATAGGCTTGGGGTTTTAATTTTTCCTGACCAGAGGCAAAAGCAGAAGACAAAAATGAGGAGGGATTGCCATGGAACCCTTGGTTCTAATGGGGAGGAGCACAGCCTTAGAGCTAACCCAGCAACATTCTGGCTTTGGTCTCCACCATACACCTACCTTCACTTCCCCACTGTTCTGCTTTCAAAGGATTCTCCTGTCAGGCAAAGCCATGGACAGAAATAGAATCTTCTATAGTTACAGTCCAGCCAGCTTTCCCTCAGGATGTGCCCCAAGACACCCGTGGATGGGTGTTAGAGGCTGGGGAGAGTGAACACACACTCCAACGCACTTTCTGAGCAGCCCATAATAGGCCTCCTCCATACCTCAGGTCTATGAGCAGCAAGTATACTTAGCTAAGACACTGGGGTGGGGCAGGGATCCCAAGCCAGCTCCCTGGGGCCGGTTGCTGCCTCATTCCTGGCCAGCATGATTGTGTGCTCACCAGCTTTTGATATGGGCAGGGGAGCATCCTGCCTTTTCAAGCAAGACACTTACAGACAACTGTTAGGGAGCTCCTCCGGGAAGCTGAAAGGGAGAGAGGAGTCTGGGTGCAGGACAGCCCGTTCCTGAATACTGCCACAGCCTGTTACCATCTGCCAGCTGCCAAAGTCTGTGGAGAGAGAGGATCCGGGCAGGGAATGGTCCACTGATCTGGGGCAGAGAGGAGAAAGGGGAGATGATGCACAGTCAGTCATATGCCTGACAGGGGAAGCACTGGAGGGGTGGGGGTTGGTTGCTACGGTGGCCCTGGGCCATGGCCGCAAGGTTCTGTTGGTGGAGCATCTGTAAAGTCAACCACTTTCTCCAAAAGTGCAAAGACAGCTGGCTAGATCAAGAAAGAAGAATACAGACCATAAGGCAGGCTCAGCTGTGAAGACAATGCTTAATGCAAAGACTTTCAGAAGCAAAAGAAGAGCAAAGCATGGTGACAAGAGGTGAGCCATCAACCAAAGCCTGCCCTGGTGTCTGACAGAACAAGTGAAATATCCACAGCACCAAAAGGAGGGGAGCAAGGCTGGATGCCCCATACTCCCCAGCACACAGATTAGAATGGAGGCTACACAGAGCCCAGGGCCACTGAGCTCCTGTCAGAGACGTGGGAGAAAAGCCTCTTGGGGAGAGGGGAGGGTGGTGACCTAGATTAAGAGCCCTAGCCCCACTCTGCAGTGCCTTCCAGGAGCCCTAGTTTGCATTCACAAGCACACCCAGCTAACTCACTGGCTATGCCCAGAGGGAAGGGATGAATCAGGCAGGCAACTTGACAGCTTCATCAGGCCTGTTTCAGATGGAAGTTTGTGAAGTGCAGGGAGAGGAAAATGGTATTGGGAATCTACTGTGCCACCTCCTCCTCACTCAGAGCCAACCCCCCTGCCATCTCTGGGCAACAGCGCAGCCATTAGAAGAGGAAGGAAGAGAGGGATATATCAAACAAACCCTTCCATCAGCTACCCCATGTCCCAGACTCCAGAGATGCATCATCTTTGATGCTTGACCCTTTATTCTTTAATTCAAGAATAGCAGAAGGTGCTCCTGTAGGGACCCAGAATCAGAGTAGAAGCATGAATAGTGGTGTAGGGAGTATGGAACAGAGAAAAACGTTCATTGAACTTGGCCCACCCAGTTGGCTGACGTAAAGAGCGACAGTCCCCCATCACCTCCCATACCTACCTAACCATTCCCATTTTAGAGACAGGGAAATGTCAGCCCAGACAGGTGAAGGCACTTGCCCAAGGTCCG